AGACGAAAGCAAACATTTAGATTTATTGTAAAATATTTTCCATTTATTTTGCAAATTCATGTGCCACTTTGACTTACAATTAATTTGTATTAAAGTGTCACGTTACAACTGTCGACTGTCCTCCAGTAATTTAACTGGAACTGTGAGTAATGGAAATAGCGTGAAAGAAAAGTTGTGAATAGAGTCTGAAGGTTTTGGATATTAGCTATTTATAATGGGCGACAAGTGAAAATTTATAAAGTAATGACAACATCAGAGAAACACTGTTCAACCATGATATGAGTGTTGACATTGCATCGTTTCCCCCAAAGAGGACACTCTGCAAGTTCCCTCTTGGCAGCTACACAACAAATGAAAGAAAAAGATGTTTATCTTACAGGTGACTGAAAGAAAAAAATGTATTGGCTGATATATCATAATTTTAAATGCCCAAAATAGTGAATTTAGTATTGCTCTTAAAAATCCTGCATCATTTGGGCTTTAGTCATGAAACAACCTTCAAACTCAAAAGGCCAACCGTTGGAGGGGACATAAGCGCAGGAGGTAACAGTCATAGTTTCAGTATTTTAAGGGTTGATCTTCTGCCAGCACTCATCCACAAAACTCAGTTTAAACTGAGATCATGCTGGAAAACAACAACAACCTTGTAATCTACTTTCCCCTGATAGCTTTAAAAGAGCAAGAGGGTTAAAGGAAGTCTGTGTTGAGCTTGTAACCTGATTTATGTTTTGAGCTTTTCTTCCTCTGTTAAAATCTCAAGGGAACTAAACAGCAGAGTTTGTCATCATCAGCCAAAACTTTCTCTCATGTCATGACACAGCACAACAAATTTATGTTTTTGGACTACATATGGAAGTGGCCCAAGTCATAAATTCATGTGAGTGTTGTTTGTCTGAAAAAAATCTTATATTTTGTATTAGCTTTGTAAAAAAAATGAACTGACACTGCAAAAAAAATACAGTAAATCAACCAGTTTATTTTCCTGATGAATGGGGCAAATAACAACATTCACTACACTGCATCTCATCACTGCTGAGTTTAATCATCTTTAGGTATGTAGATGATTTTGAACCTCTCGAATAAATCGATGTCGTCCTCCAGCTGCTTCATTTGCTTTTCGAGGCAGTCCTTGGTGGCCCTCTGTGACATAGTGTCGATGATGAGGGGAAGGGCCTGATACTCGTGATGCAGCTTATCCCAGGTTTCCTTCAGGCGCTGGACAGAAGATTTGACGAAGGAAATGCATCAATGCCACAAGACAGACTATCTGTATTCAAAGCTTTTCTGAGTAAACAGGCATCAGTCAGAGATGTTACAGAGGGTAATTATCTAAGAAATCCTGCTGAGTAAGGAAGGAAAACTGGTATTTTGCAGCCAGAGTTGGCTTTGGTGTATTGTTGTACATTTTTGCATGTGCAGCAGTTAAGGAGGAGAAATCTCTTGAACTAAAAAACTGTATACACAAGTATGAGAGCTCTAATTAATTTGATGTTACATGCACTTTATACAAGTTTAGTTGTGAACATTTTTATAAGTAAACTCAGAAAATGTTGCTGGAATGATCTCAGAGATCTCAGTTTTTGTGCCTCATATCCCGCACAGGGACAGACACTGTGTTGTGTTAATGGCTAAACATTAACATTGTTCTGTGCCATATGAATCACTGGATACCATATCACCCATTCACACGAGGCAAAGCTTAAACACAAAATAATGATGCCCACATTGAGAAATCAAGGATCTAAAGTTAAATATCAACGGTCCCGCTAGTCTTCTGACTTCTTACTGTAAGTCCTTATATAGAAAAATCAAGTTTAAATGAAAAACTGTACTCTGACAAAGAACCGTCAACATTTACTTTGACTGAGAACAATCTAACTGTCATCCTACAGCTTCACTGTGTTGTGAGTAACTGAAGTTCAAAACCCTGCATAACTCAAGTTAAATCCACTAAATTGTAAGATCCAGCATGGTTCCCCTGCATCTATTTACCTTCAGGATGGCTTGTCTCTCCTCCTCTGTCATGTGTTTCATGGCCCTCTGCTCCCGCTCTGCTCTTACAAAGTTTTCATACTCCTCTCGAGCCCTCCTCTCTGCTTCGCTGCGCTGCTGGAGGTACGCTGGTACTCTACCAAAGTCCTTCATGCAGGGTGTGTTTTATGAGCAAATATAAACATGATATTATTCTAGCATGCTTTATGTTGATATTTAAAAGACTGAAAGTAGCAACTGTAGGAAAATACCTTTCGTGTGATGAACTTTGGGACAAGCCCTGAGTTTTCCAGCACCTGTTTGTGCCCCTTGCTGGTGTCTACGCATGCAGGCTGTGGTTTCATTGGCACCAGTTCAGGTGTATCCTTTACAAAGTCCCTCTTGGTGTGAATTCCCATCAGTGGTTTGTCATTCCTTCTGGGGACCGGAGGTTTCCTCTCAGTGAAAGAGCAGGTTTTATGAACATCTGTGGAGCTCTGCGTCTCTGAAACATGCAATTCCAAGAAGCTCATATTCACCACCTCAAGGCAAACCCACACGCTAATAAAACGGTCAGACACATGAACTCACGTTCAGGCAGTTTGGGCTCTTTCGAATGCTTCTTGAGGAAATTCTCTGGAGATGGCAACTCCACTCTGGCAGGTCCCATCGTCCTTATTGGCTCCTTCACCAGTTTTCTCTCCAACATAACTGCAGGCCTGAATTTTGATACATACCTTGAAAAAAAGAAAAAAGAAAAAGCAACACATTAGTTGAAGCAATCACTAAAAAAAAATTAAAAACAAAATTATTATTTTTTAATTAAAAATAAATGAAAACCATGCTTTAAAATAAAAGAAAACTGAATTGATATACTGTACTCACAAAATTTTATATTATAAATGACTATTTTTAGTCTTTTCTGCTGTTATTTTTAAGTCAAACTCGTCAACAAAATAGGTAGTGATGAGTTTTTTTAGTTTTTCATTTTAATTTACATAACAAATTGAAAGAACATTAAATCAACTACATTATTACACAATACTAGATTTTTTCCCCTATACTATTTTTTAAAATACCGTCCAAAAGCTGCGTATCTGTTTTACGACCTAATCGAAATTTACAGTAGTGTAGAACATCTGACTAGTGTTCTCGTGATCAGTGGGGGTTTACCATACCTGTTCGAAGCGAACAGTTCACTGCGCATGCACGCAGTAAAAATGTCTAACACAGGACTGGGTTCCCACCCCCAGAGTCAAGCTACTTGCATGTAATGTCTCCTCAGTTACACACAGTAAAAGCTTACAAGGAACGAATCCAGAGTCTTTACTAAAACATCAAACAAGTATAAAATCTCTATAATTAACTCTTTACATACCTAAAAGGAAAAAAAGAAACCTTTAACAGACACCAAAACGTTTCAATAAAAATGAGCAAACATACTCTAAAAACAATCTCAATAAAACTAAAAGCAAACATTTAAAAACGCAAATAAAAACAAAGCTATAGGATTGTTTTTCTTTTCTCTTTATTTTAATAAAAAATTCTCTGTAAAACTACAATTTACTACTTACCCCAAGTTTATTAGTTATTTCTGGAAAACAAAACAAGCAAACAAACAAACAAAAACACCAACGACTTTGTAAAATGTCAAACTGATGTCGTGGTTTTGTTTTGTTTACCCCAAATAATAGTTTAAAGCTAACTGCGTACTTTGAGCTAAGTTGAAGCAATTTACCTGGGCGCTTTTTCCTTCTTTTTGTCTTCCACTGGAAGGAGATTGAAGGCACTTTCTGGAAGATGAACATATTCAGACATCATGAATAAAGAGGCGATTAACGAAAGAGTGCTGTAGCTTCTTTTGAAGGCTAATAGCCTTAAATTCTCCAAATTTGTTTGACACCGGCTAGTTGCTAGGAAACAAGAACAGCAGATGTTGCGTTCATGAGCGGTCGGAAAGTGTCTCATTTAGGGTTACATCTTGTTATTTTTGAAAGTTGCAAATGTAAAATGTTTCCCGTTATCCATTAAATTGCAAAAAAATATTCTTGTCTTCTTGCTTTAAGATTACTAGGGCTATATGGTATTTTCGCGTGAAGTTTGTTTGGTGTTTAGAAGTAGGAATTTTCGAGGCAAACTTGAAAGCAGCAAAGAGTTCTGCTTTGCCTTCAGATTTTCTCTTTGTTTTGTCGATTTTTCTAGATGTTTGCTAGAACTTCGCATTCATTGTTACAACTGCTAAGCTGTTTGGTTACAGTTTAAAATGTCGCTGAATTTATATATAGTTAAGCAATTTTTCTCTTTTTCTTTTTTTTTGCTTCCAGTGATAAATATAATTTTGTCCCTTTAGGCTCACCGTAGTTATTTATGGCGACTGTTGTGGAGACTGTTGCCGTAAAGAGTTCATTTTCTTGTGTGAACTAACAAAATCACATAATTACGTAATTTACAAAGTCATTAATTAGCAGGTGGAGCTTATGGAAAGTCGTTATTTGCGTAAGTGTATTGCTCATTCAATTTCATTTACGGTCATCTGTGAGTGTCCTGAATAAGCCGAGAAGTTATCCCAGCCTTTTACGATATTTTATCAAAGCTTATGAGCTTGGTAATTACAACTGCAGCTGACTTTAAATTCCTCGGCTAACTTCCTCTCTAAACTTCGAAAGCAGAAATCTAAGCATGCTACTGATATCTGTAATTATACCTTAACGGTCAATTTAAATGAAACAAACTGACCTACGTTAAAAACAAAATACTTTTTATGCTGCTGTTGAACACTATTGAACTGTACGAATTATGAAAAAAAGTCCTTGCAATGAATTCGAGTTTTCTAGTTTATCCCCCTCAGACTGAATATGGGGTAAAGCACATGTTTGCGTGTGAAGTTTGAAGGTTAAAACTCTCACATCAGGCATCTGAAGGACAGATGCACTTGATCTGGTTTAAACAAGCTTACGAACTTGTATAAAATCAAAGCGGAGGTTTGTTTTTATGATATTACCTGATATTTTGTTAACCCCACCTTCCCAGTAGTCAGATACTGATATCTTCAGCAGATATTATCTTTTCTTCTGCCTGATAATCATCTCGCTGCCATTGTAAATTAGGTCCTCTCGCTGTGTACAATGACGGAGAAGGCATAGAAATGCTGTGCCTAAAGTGGGACAGTTTTCACCATATTTGGACATCAGTGCATGTGACTAAAAAAGGGGAGGTGTGCCTGTCAGTGCACTTAAATGTACTTGCCATGTAACTGCATATATGCTTGATAGGTCTATTATTACCCATCTTATGTGATTGGAAAAAATTCTGTTTATATTTACAGCTTTAGTATGGCTTTTTAGGGCCAATCTAAAAGCAACAAGAGTTATTGTCTAAATGGTAGAGATAATGATTTTAGAACAGTGTCTTCTTATCTTTAAGATGTTAGGGTGTGTGACAAGATTATATAATACTTTTCAAGGTCTGTCAAAAAGCTAACATGCTGACTTGTAAATTTAGGTGTACTATAATCTTAGAATACCATTGTTCTAAAAAAAAAAAGAAAGAAAACTGAAATATGTTCTTTTTCACAGGGGTAAGGGCAGTTGTCATTTAATTCCTGAATGGGTTTACTGAATACAAGCCAGCTTCCAATAAGAGCTGCCAAATGGTGCCTGAGTTCACTGTCTACACAAAAATCATGGCTTTCCGCCAGATCCACCTGCCTGGGAGACAAGAACATCCTGCTCATGGGTCCTCCGGGAGCAGGAAAAACTACGGTGGGGAAGATAGTGGCCCACAAACTAGGACTCCCTGTCATAGATGTTGATGATGACGTCTTGGAGACGGCATGGAAGATGCCTGTTGCCGCTAAGTTGGCAGCAGTTGGCGGAAGGTGTTTCTTGGAGGAAGAAGGTCGAGCTTTGTGTAACTTCTCGGCCTCTGGGTGTGTTGTTTCCCTGACGGGCTCTAATCCTCTTCATGCTGAAGCAATGCAGCATGTCAAACAGAGCGGGCTGGTCTTCTACCTGGATGTGGACAGTGAGGACATCTTACAGAGACTCACCAGCATGAAGGTGAACAGGATAGTGGGCCAGGAGGAAGGGGTATCCATGAGGGACATTTTGCTTTACAGGAAACAGTTTTATGAGAAATGGCTGGATGTGAGGGTGCTGTGTGGAACAGGAGACACAGTGGAGGAGGTAGCAGAGAAGGTGCTGAAAGCTGTGGAGAGATACCAGAAAAGTGATGAAGAAACATTCATTTCAACCCGATGTGATAGCGCAGGATTGTCCAAGCAGAAAATATACTTTAGTGATGTGGTTGTGGAGGGTCTGGCTCCAGATGGAGGGCTTTATGTTCCCAAAAATGGCTTCCCAAAGATAGGCACACGCGAATGGCAGAGGTTAGTTGAGATGTCATACCCAGAGCGAGCGTTAGTTTTACTTGAAAAGTGCATCCACCCTCTGGACATCTCTGCTTTGGATCTCAGAACAATGATATTCAAGGCATATGGGTCAAACTTTGCCAGCAAGGCTGTCGCACCTGTAAAACACCTCGCCCACAATCAGTACATTCAGGAGCTTTTTCACGGCCCCACCGCCTCCTTCAAGGACCTCGCTTTGCAGCTGATGCCTCAGCTCTTTGCCTACTGCCTCCCACCCATGTGCAACTTCCTCATCCTGGTAGCCACATCTGGAGACACTGGCAGTGCAGTGCTCAGTGGCTTCAGCAGGCTGAGCGGCACTGACAGACACCGCACCGGCGTCCTGGTGTTCTTCCCGGAGGGAGGAGTGAGTGAGATGCAGAAGCTCCAGATGATGAGCTACAGGGAGGGCAATGCCAGGGCTGTCAGCGTCCTGTCAGACTTTGACTTCTGCCAGAGAAATATCAAGAGGATGTTTGGGGAGGCGGGGCTGACAGGGCATCTCGCTGTAGAGTACGGCACAGTCCTCAGCACCGGCAACTCCATCAACTGGGCACGGCTGTTGCCACAGGTGGGTTGATGATCACAGAGTGTCGCTGCAAGATTTTTGTAAATATAAGCATTTAATTATAACATTACAATTTAATAAGCTTTTTTTGTAGCCAACATTGTGATTGCTTTGGTTGCCAGCAGACTTCCATGGTTACCAAAAAAAGTTGTTTCAGAGCTGCAGCCAACATGTTTTAAAAAACCTTTATTTTGAAGGTGAGTGGTGTCCATTTCTGGTTTGTGCTGCAAGGAAGTGGAACTAAACTTCAAACTATGACCCCAGTGCGCTTGTGAACGAAGTAGTCTTTCTTTAAAATGCAGAAACAGGAATACAACGTTATTGTAAAGTGAAATTTTATTGTGTTTCCCATTCTGTTGTTGTGAAAACACCAAAAGTTTGATCCAGGTGTTTTGCTGTCCTTCAGGAATTCACTTACTTGCTGAAAGTCTGTGATTTTTATTCAGTCACAAGGGCAGTATTATTTTGCAACACTAAGCAAAGTTTTACTAACTTTTTCTCCTCTTTCAGGTGGTCTATCATTCATCAGCCTATCTGGATCTGTGCAGGGATGGTGTCATCAAATTCGGCGATCCCATTGATGTTTGCATCCCTACTGGCAACTTTGGCAATGCCATGTCAGCTGTGTACGCCAAACAAATGGGCATCCCGATAAGAAAAATTATCTGTGCATCCAACCACAACCGTGTCATCGCTGACTTTATCAAGACAGGCCAGTACGATCTTCGGGGACGGTCTCTGATGCTCTCCCACTCCCCCGCTATAGATATCCTGAAGTCCTCCAACCTCGAGAGATTTATCTACCACGTCTCCAACGGAAACAGCCATCTTGTCAAGGACCTGTTCACACGCTTAGACAGACAGCAGCACTTTCAGGTTCCCGAGCCTCTTCTTGGCACGATTCAGCAGGAAGTGCTGTCTGGCTGGTGCTCTGAGGATGACTGCTTGGCCGCCATCCAGAGAGTTCACACACAGACAGGCTACGTCATGGACACACACACGGCTGTGGCTAAATTCGTCGCTGATAGGCTGCAGGATGGCTCGTGTCCCGTAGTGTTTTGTTCCACGGCTCACTATGGGAAATTTGCTCCCGCTGTGTTCAAAGCTTTGCAAATCCCAAATATTCCAGAGGATCCCACTGAGCAGCTCAAGAAGCTGGAACTTATTGCATCCAGACCAGAAATGCACAGAGAGATGATAAAATGCCTGAAAGAAAGTGCCAAGAGGAAACACAGCATTTGTGAAGCAGAGTACAGTGTGCTGGTAGACCAGGTGGAGAGCATGATACAGGACTCCTTCTTAAAAGTTATGTAAAATGATCCCAGCTTTTGTTGATGTCCAGCTTCAAGTAATTAGCCAGAAATTACAAAAGTACTCTTTTTCTTTGTCCTCTTTGTTTCATCCACTTGAACACATTACCAGGGCTGCACATAAGTGGTCTGCAGATGTGCATTCGCTGTCAAAATAAAAGACGCACACCAAATAAGAAGTTGCAACGCGCATTTGCGTACATAAGATTTTCTGGAGGAGGACAGACATTTGTTTCGAACTCTTAAAGATGTCAAAGAAGCAAGCTCCTTTAAGCAATTACTTTGGTGTTCCTCCACCTCCAAAGAAATGTCAGGAGTCCGAACCGCAAAAGAAGTGCGTATTCTTGGAGATGTGGTGCAGAATATGCCGTGAAAATCCCACTCTAGCGGACAAAAACAGTGCCTTTTATATGTACGCAAACACGCGTTGCAACTTCTTATCTGGTGCGCGTCTTTTATTTTGACAGCAAATGTGCACCTGCAGACCACTTATGAGCACCCCTGCACATTACAAAAGAAAAAACCTAAAATCTTGATTAACATGTCAAAAAAGGGAAACAAATGAGCGAGCAACCTCGTGAAAATGCATTTAAAGACAAATTAAAAAGGTAAATCTGTCTGAGCCCCCAGGATTGAGAAAAATGAACATATTTTACACAAATTATACTCTAATAGAGCTTTAAACAGCTTTATTACTCATTTTATTGATTATGCAACATTTGTTCTCATGACAGTCTGGATTCCAAGCTCACTAGATGGGGATGTCTACCCCTTGGCTACTGCTGCGTTTCATTAACAGTATATGGATGTAGATGCAGGGGGAAGGTCAAATACCAGTAAAATATGGTGTAAAGTCAATATTGTTACTTTAATCACACATTTCTGCAGTAATAAAATCTGACTGTTAAATCACTTTTTAATTATAAAGTGATGTTTTATTCACCTCATCTTTTCTTAGTAATTTCCGTTTTTTCCAGTATTGACCGTGTAAACCTGGAGGAGTTTAATAGTTGCTCGATAAGCTAGAAAATGCTTTTTTTGTCATAAAAACCAGACTTCTGACATATATAGCACCGTGTAAAAGTCTTAATTCATCGCTTGATTCTTAAATTTGTTAATTCCAAGGAGCTAGACTTTTTTGCAGTTGTTTTAAAAGTGGTCTTGAGCAAGTCCTCCAACCTTTCTGAAGGGCTTTCTATGGCTA